CAACCTCCCAGTGTTGTGGTCTTCTAATAAAAAAGTTTTGCAAAGATGAAAACCAACAGAAGTGTGCTAGGCTTGTAAGAATAAGGATTGGGATCGTTTTCTCCTCTCTGTGCTGCCTGGTGGCTTGTCATGTCGAGGCTCACAGACTGGATAGCGGTAATTCGTTCAGCATCGTTTGGTGTTTGCCGCAAGTTTTCCTTCTAGGATTGACAAAGGGACTTGTTAATGAAGGGATTGACGATGTCCTTTATGACTATCTACCATCATCCATGAAGTTTCATGTACTTGTAGTAGATGGATGTGCAGAGGGGTTAGGCTGTTTGCTTAATGCAGTACTAAATTTAGCATGTCCAAGCAACTGGATTGGCACTAGCATTAGCACGAGTCATCTTTCCTATTAGTATCTGATGCTAGCGATTATGAACCTATGCTCCTTAATTGTGTTCATCATTGTGACAACTATTTATAAATCGTTAAGTGAAATAATCTTGTTTCAATTAAGTTTGGGATTTCCCACACCATTATAAGTCACTAAGAAAATGTAGCAACCAAATTATAGTTTGATAGATGTTCTTTTTTTATTTTCTTGTTAGTTAAATGATAATTTTAGATTTTGGACATTTAATTTTTGAATATTTTTAGTCTTTTAATTAGTTTTTACAATTTTTTGTTCTTGCACTATAACAAATGAATTTTTTTGGTCCTTTCGTTATTTAGTCTATTAAATTTGTTTAAATATGTACATTTTTAGTCTTTAAATTTTAAGTTTAAGAAATAAAAATATACATATTGAAATAGACTTAATAGATGAATTAATAAAAAAAATTAAAAAAGTATTTTTCATAATTTATAAACCAAAAGTTTTTTAAAAATAATCAACAATGGAAAATAATTTTAAAACAATTTTTTTAATATCTTTATATATTATTTAAATGATCGACTCTTTTTGTTTATCTGATACTCATGATATTAAATACATCCACTTATTTAATAATATGTAAAAATTGTATAAAAAATAGTACAAAAAATTATCTTTATATCACCTTTCATTAACAAATTAAAAATATTTAAAATTAAAAGCATCAAAATTAAAATTAACATTTAAGCTTATTGTAACCTATAAAAGGCAGTCATGTATAAATTGTTTTTCCATTTTTTTCCCCTATGAAATTCACCAGAACATTATTGGAAAAAGAGTATAAAACGTAATCTTATCTACAAAATAAATATTTACCAACTTTAATTGGTTATCTTCTTCTAGAAATTACTTGGTGGAGTGGAATACAAACCAATACACTTGAGAACATGCTCTTAAGAGTTGAGTTACTAGTACTAATTAAATTAGGTAATCAAGAATTTTATTTTCTAGAGATTAATTTCATTAGTAGAAGCAAGAGTTACATTCACTCAAAGAAATGTAAAAGAGACAAGACAAAAGTAGCCTATGTCGTGCAACAATAGCGAAGATCATCTCATAATTGACATGGATTATTTTTTATCTTTTATCCTTATTCATCCATCATCAAAATTTTCTCTTTATTTTTATGTTTTATTAAAGGTAATATAAATAAATATATAAAGAAGTTTTTAATATGTGTTTAGAATAATTGACTTGTCTAAAGTTTCACTA